ACCCCATCTCTACTAAAAATAGAAAGAAATTAATCAGACAACTGAAAATATATAGGAAAAAATTAGCCGGGCATGGTGGCGCATGCCTGTAGTCCCAGCTACTGAGGAGGCTGAGGCAGGAGGATCGCTTGAGCCCAGGAGTTCGAGGTTGCTGTGAGCTAAGATGACGCCACGGCACTCTAGCCCGGACAACACAGTGAGACTCTGTCTCAAAAAAAAAAAAAAAAAAAAAGTGAATTGATTTTTCCCTCTCCCAAACTGCTTCTCCCCACCAGAGGGTTTCTTGTCTCAAGGAACGGTGACATTGAGCCAGGTACACGAGGACTCACCCCTGACACTTTTCTCTCCTTTACCACCACCCATCTCAAATCCCATGCCAAGTTTTCTCTCTCACACCTCTGGAATCCAGCCACGTCATGCTGTCTCCGTTGCTATCATGGGACTCCAAGCCCCTGTTACAGTATTTCTCACTTGGACAACTGGTCTGCATGTATCTTCACATGCTCTATTATCACGATTCTGTTCCACATGCAAAGGCAAGAGGGATCATGTCAAAACACAGAACTAAAGCCACTTCCTTGCTTAAAACCCTTCAATGGCTCCTGGCTGCTTTCAGAATAAAAATTAAACTCCTTCTGAAGCTTTGCAATGTCTGGGCCTGGACTCCTCTCCTCCCATCTTACTCCAGCCATGCTAGCTTCAACTGCCGTGATCCCTCGGCCCACCAGAGCCTTTGCATATACTATTTCAGATTCTCGCTATGTTCTACTTCCCTGTCTCTTCCCCAAAACTAATTAAGAGCTGTTCATTTTTCAGAGCTCAGCTGAAATATCACTTCCTCAAAAACGCTTTGTCTGACCCCCAAACTTGGTTAGGTTTACCTAGCATGGTGGCTTTCAGGAATATTTTTTATTTATGGGACTACAAGTACATGCTACCACTCAATAATTTTTTTTTTTACTGTGACCCATAGTACACTTTGTGACCTAGCATACACATATATAAAATGAATAATGATGATTTTTACCATTACTATATGTTACATAGATATTTTCTATTATTTCACCTAAATGTATTACAGAACACTATTTGGAAAAAAATCCTAATTCATAATTTCATAGAACTATGCCTTTCCTTCAAAGCATTCAGCATACTTTTAATGATTGCTGGATTAATATCTGTCTTCTTCATAACCTGTATTTTCTATGTGGTTAGGGAGTGTTTGGTATTTTGCTTAGCCTCAATAGGAACTTAATAAATATTTGGACAATGAAAAATGTATATTGGTTGGTAAGTACTTTTCCTTGTGGCTCTTACCACAACTATAACTAATGACTAATTATCTGTATATCAATCATTAAGCTTCTCCACTTTAGACTCAAACTCCAGGAGGGCAGGAATCCTATTTTCTCCTGTTGATGTCTCTAGCATCTAACTGCAATACCTGCAAAATGGCAAATCAAAAATCATTTCCCAAAAAAAAATTCAAATCCTGGTACCCAGATTCTGGAAAGCATGGATGAATAAAGCTGAGCAAAGTGTCTATTGCCTCAAAGACCTCAATCTTTGCTTCAGGGACTATAAGAAACCAAGTTTATTTCAAAAGGCAAATGGAATCTTCATTGGAAACAAATTCTTCATGGGTGGCCAGATGTGGCAAGTCAGGAACTACTGTGTGGATTCACACAAAGGTAAGTAGCTCATTATATGGGAATAGTTTATTGGTTCTAAGCATTAAAAACATTTTTAGTTGGCAATGTCTCATTTAATCACTATTCCCCAAATCACTACTAATACTTCATAGCATTCACATTCTGTTTCTATATAGCATATTATACTTATTTAAATGGAACAAGATATACTTCATACTTACCTTGTAATTGCCAGAACTTCCCTGTGGACAAAGCACGTAGAAGTGAATTGCTACAACAGATGGTATAATCCTAGCTAAGCTTCTTGTTACAAACGTCACGTGGACATAGGAACATGAATGGTTTTAGAGTGATTAACTTGGTTGGCTTGTGGCAGCAAATTCTTTGAC